CCTTTAGGTTTCCTAGCTGCCTGATTTGCCTAAGCAAAGAAAGAAAGAAGTGAGAAAATACACAGCTTAGAATACTCAGACAGTCCATTGGAATTTAGCTCTGAGGTGAGGATAAAAGCTGACACAAAGTTTCACCTCCTCCTGACCCAGCCACAGGAATAAACAGCACATAAACATAACTAAACTTTTCCCTTTGGTTCATAGTTCTCTTAGAAGTTCATCTCTTCTTGCCAGACACTGGTACAGGAAAACTTCTTACCCGCCAGTTCCGAATTCTCTTGAGCCTGCTGGGTGTTTTCTCCAGTATCTGCAGAAACTCATGAGTTAGCTCTGAATAGGAAAAAAGAAAAAAGCCATTTTTACATCTGATTCTGTAATAAACAGGTAGAACTTGGTGCATTTTTCCTAGTCTGAGATCATACAGGTTACAGCCTGTGCATGAGCCGAATTTATATTGGATTAAAAAATTGTTAGGTAAGTCTTGAACAAAACAGGCTACAGTATTTCACTGCAACAGACTTGTGACCACTACAGCATTCTGAAACACAGCTTTGAATGTTACATTTTGGTTTTACCCTTGCACAACCTGGATTTGTTAGACCAAAAATTTACACAGGGAGCTATACAAACAACAGCTCCTCAAATAACATACTTGCCATTCAGCCTGGGCATTTTCTGTATCAACTTAAGTTTCCTTTAAAGTCTTTAAATCACTGTCTCAGTCATTCCATCAAACTTCAGGAACACCCAGTAACAGCTCTGCACACACTATAACCATCAGACCCTTGGAAACACCCTGTTGTAAACAAGAGCTTTGAAATAACTGGTGTTCAAGGCAGAGCACTTGGCTGTGTTAAATCCCAAGGATCCTTGCAATTAGAAAGAGAAGGTCTCCATGCTTGTCAGCTGCAAATTAAAATACCTTCCACTGAAATTTAATTTTACTCCTGAGCTAAATATAATTAAGTACAGTCAGAATCTGAATGCAGGTCTGGAAGAACAGGCTTCTCCAGAACTCCACAAACAAATTATACACTAAACTGCTCCCAAGTGCACAACTGCCTCAGGCCCTTGGTCTGCCCGGGTCCATCAAACACACCAGCTCCGTAAATGCCTGAAGAACAGAGCCAAGTTCACAATCAGCTCACAGCATTCCCTCCAAACCCACAGCCATGTGGGAAGGAAGCAGGGTGGTGTTTGGAACTAGATACAAATTAAAGATGCCCATTCAGACAGAGATGTTTGAACCTGCACTCTGAAGTTCACTCTACTTTGGTGCTTCACATGACATTTACTCAATTTCTCGCTTACAAAAAAACCCCCAAAATTGCCATTAAGAAAGAAAAGCTCAGCAGAGGAAAGCAGCAGGCCATGGGGAGCCTTGCTGGGCCATGGGAAGCCTGGAGACTTCCACTACTACTCCAAAATGCACAGTTCACTCCAGGATCAACAAAGTCCACGTGGATCTGAAAGCCTCAGGAGCTCCCACTCCCACTCCAGTAGTGTACGTGGGCCTTAAATCCACACTGCTCTGCAGTAAGTGCTTTTCAAAAGACAGTAAACTTCCAGGTATGTGGAGTTCTACGTGTTTGCTTTCTTCAGGAAAAGCCTTTCGACAGGAAAAACTATTTTCCAGGCATTTGAGATAGCACAAGTGATGCCAAGCTGTTAATGCAGAACTGCCCCTGTGAGCACAGTTTTATGCACACCCCCGGGACTGAAACGACTGACTGTTCTGCTCCGGTGCAGTACCAGGAATTTGCACTGGGACATTCCAGTGCTGAAAAGCATTTAAACCCAAGATTCTCATCAGCACCTACAAAAGGTACAAGGATGTTCCCTTCAAACTAAAGGTCTCAAACTCAAGTTTGTCTTCCGAAGTTCTCTCCTCTCCTGACAATATGGTACATGAAGTCAGTGAGACTTAATTTAGGCTTAAAGCTCTTACTGTTCCCATCCCTGCACATCTCCTGAATAATAACCCTGGAGTTTCCAGATGGGAAAGGCAGTAGCACTTACCATCCAGCAGTTCTAGAGTAACCGAAGGATCCACATATTCCCACCAGTGTTTGCCATCGGTGGACACCGGAATCTCCCAGTTGGACCACTTGCAGGCCAAGTGGATGCACACACAGGCTATCACTGTGGGCTTGTACTGAAGGCAGAACGTGGTAAGGTGAAGACTGTTGCACAAATTTCCCAATGAGGAACCAAAGGAAATCAAACATGAAAAACAGAAAACCCAAACAAATCAACCGTTGACAGACAGAATGAGGCAGCTGGTCAAGCAACAGCAGTTAAACATTTTGCTGAATAAGTTCATAAGATATCTTACTGCCCTAAGAAAACAAAGGGCAGTGCATTTATCTGGTAGAAAAGTTTAATTTGCTTTTGCTATCAAAAGTCTGATGAACAGTAAATAAATTTAACAGTTACTCTACAATACTTATGTACTAAAAAGAGAGAAGTATAATATGGCCAATTAAAGCTCCCCAGTAAAAAGCAGACAGCTGATTCCGCAGTCCCTGAAGGAGAATCAGAAGTCCCCAGCAGTTCCACAGAACCAGGTGAATTACTTGTGGGCTTGGCTTTCACAGGCCTGGATTTGTGACATTTGTGAACTGGTCTTCAGCTTCCAGCTGGCAGCAGCACAAAATACACTGGCTCAGTTCCACTGCTTTAGCACAACACCTCTTTAAGTACAGAACCTTGCCCATCAAGGAACCACCAGGACTGATTTATTTATTGTGTACAGTTACGATAACCAGCAGATATTGCCTAAAAACCAAGTATACAGAATGAAATCCTCTTAAATTAAGCTTCAAGTTGTTTTGCAAGTTGAAGTAATCAAGACTAAAGTCTGCTCTCTCGTTCTTTCTGTGACAGCCTAAGTATACACAAAACCCATCTGAAATCTTAGAACTTATGTTTGTCTAAGTACTTAAGTTTTAAAACTGTATATTAAGATTAAAGAGCTGTGTTTAAAAGGAAGAACATTGGGCTTGTACTAGTCTATCTGAAGAGAAAAATCAGCCAGCTGGAAAGAACTTAGGTCCACTACAGTTTTATAAGTTAAGACTGGATAAATATATATTTAAAGTTAAGAGAAAACTGCCATTAACTACAAGTGTAAACTAAAAATAGTTTTGTACTTACCAAGACGCTCGGGTTTCTAGGTTAAGTTTATCTCTTTGTAATCTTTAGCTGCTATTCAGGCTACCAATTTTAGATTTATGCACTCACAATGGAGAAAAATGTCATCAGAAAGCACCACTACACTTCTCATTGTGCATTTAACCCCTGTGTGCCACGAGGCCCTTGTCCAATACACCGCACTGCAGGCGGGCAGGAACCACCACTGGAGGCGGCCCAGTCTCCCGCTGCAACAAGGGCAGACACATGGAGGGGGCCCTGCAGTAAAGGAAGCTATAGTGTGCTACAACAGTGCAACAAAGAGGTTCAGGATAACAACCTGTTGGTAGCCATGAAATAGGATGTCTGTGCCAAATCCTTGCTTGCTGTAAGAAAAGAGAAACAGGGAGATTAAAGGTCGGCACGAACTCGGCGGGTTCGTTCCAAAATTAGAGCAGTTTTACCTTCCGAAATCGCTGCTGGGTATTGCTACAGAACTGATCTCAATTTGGCTGACTAGCCTTCAAAATTATATTTTCTGAGACACAGAAGGGGCCCTTACATTCAGTACTGGGGCTGGACCAGTCCTATTCACTGCCCCTCCCTCTGCTGATCCAACCCCTGTCTCCTCAGGGCTGAGAGCACTCTGCTCTGGGAAGCGCTGCTTCCCGACCCTCACCTGGAGATGATTCCTGCCATTCCCTGGGCTGCAGGACAGAGCAGTCCCAGCCCATTCACAGCACAGTGCACACCCTGCCCTTGGAGAGGAGCATGGCAGGACACCCCTCCCACCCCCCCACCTCCCCAAAACCAGAGCCATGTCCCTCTCCCAAAGCCCTACAACACCACAAGTCCCCAGGCTAAAGGGTGAGAAGCTAAAAAAAAAAAAAAAAATCAGTTTTCTGCTCCTTCTAATTAAGAGCACTGTGCTCAGAACTTTTTGCTCCACGTTTCTTAAACCTATGGCAAAGCTTCAATAGAAAACCAACAAGTTCATTTTAGTTAGTCAGGAAAAAAACAAACCAAAACACAAGACTGCAACATGCCAGAAACGAAAAGCTACTGAGTCAGGCTGTTACAGGCACGCAGTGCTGACCCCTGCAGGGACACCCCAACTCCTCACTCAGGTAAGAGAACTTACTGTAACATGCATTAATGGGATAGCTGGCCACAAGGCAGATTGAATGCAGCCTTCATTCAAGTCTTACTTTGACACTATCACTTGAAATCAGTGCTACCTGCAGAGAGCGTAGTGTTGAATTTTATGTCAAAGGGAACATTGTTAAGCTTTTATTTTAATAATAATATTTCCATAAAGTTTGATAAATACTATAGCGGCTTTTAAATTTCAAATTTTAAACAGCATAATAAAATGTGATTTAACTCAACTTCTAATGATTGCCAGGGAGCACAAATCAGATTTGTCTTTATGCTACACAGCCAGGCAGTGCCATAATCCCAGAAGAAAATGGAAGTAGCAAGGCAATAGGATCTGTTCCCACACAAATTCTACTGAGCCATAATAATCAGAAGGTGACCTGACAATGTGTTGTACTATAATATTTAGTTTGCAAACTCTAATGGTAATTAAATACCAAATAACCTCTTCCTCTCCCTCCCAACTAATGAAATGTAAGGTGGAATTACCAAAAAGAGAAACAGTGAAATGAGACTGAGTCTCACTGAACCATTGTGTATTTTCATTTGTTTTGTTATGACAAATTGATGTCTTGCTCCTCATTTTTCACCAAAGCAATGTCTAAAGGAGCTTCAGTATTTATACACTCTGTAAAGTCACATGTCTGAATTACAGGACTGGGACAAGAAGCATCTCTACTCTCACTGAAATGGCCCTTTTGAACAAGGAAGAAAAGCAGATGCCAGAAAACTTCTATTTAACAGCAGCTTGGAAGTTGAGTAAATCAAAACACATACCTGGAAGAAAAGAATCACATCTTGAAACACACATTTTGGCCCCAATCAAAAGTTAAAGTGCTAAATACCTTACCTATACTACAAGTAGTATGATGGTGTTTCAACTTATTTACAGCTCATAACAATCATTGCCAAAACTAACCAGAAGTTTCAGCTCAAAACCGAAGCCTTTGATAACACAAGGCACAACTAAAAACACCCCTCCCAAACTCTTCTATTTAGGACAGCTTTGGTTGAGCAGAACCCATCACAGGAATTAAAGCTAATGAATTTTGGCTCCTGTATTTTGGTGCTTTACTTCCATTCTAGCAGTGAAAAGTGCATCTCCAAATTGCAATCATCTTGAAGCAGAGGCTCAAACAAGCCAGCAGAGCTGCTCTTCAAACTCCCGAGCTGCAGGACTGATGGCTGCGGCACCAACCAGGAATGAGCAGCTTGAGCTTTCAGCAGCTCAGAGGGACTCCAAACACCCACCCTGTCCCACTGCTGCAGAAGCAACCACAAGGCAGGGGGTCACTGAGGTAGGAATCAATATTTTTGAACGGGACTTGCTGTCCAATACACCTTCCAAAAGGCCGTCTCCAAGAAACTGCCAACTGGAAACCAAAATGTTTTTGGTTTTTTTTTTTGCTGGGCAGAGCCACACAATGGTTGCAATTCCAAGATATCTGAGTCTTTTCTTCAACACAGCTTATCTTGGATCTTGGGATACTCATGAAAATGTGACTGCCAAGTCCCCCTCAGGAGGGTGGTAGGTGGCTATGCCTGGACCCTGCCAGCATTTGGGAGCGTTCTCCGGAAAGAGGAGATGGCAGATAAGCCAGTCAGCATCAGGAGAGAGGAGCTTCTGGTCCTTCTGGCCAAAGGAGAAGAGCCCCAGGCTCTGAGCAGAGGTGTGCTGGTGGATGCCTGCTGTGTCTGCAAAGGGCTGGAGCAGGCCATGGTGTAGGCAGTCAGGTCTGAGCAGTCCTGGTGGCTTTACTTCCTCGAAAGCACTTAAACCTCGGGAACAGGCCTGTGAAAGCCTGAGGTGAAAGTTCAGTATGTGGAGGCCACCTGCAGCAGTGCTGGAGTGCAGCTGGGCTTTCAGATCTTTCCACACCACTCAGTACACTAAGACTTACATTTTCCTCCCGTGAATACCCTCTGAAAAAGCTGATGCATTTTCACCTCCTCTTCTGCTGACCTTGTCTTTCTCAGCCTGGTTTAAGCAATGCTAGCTGTGCACACAGATACTATGGCATATTTGGAGGATTTGACACTGCAATTTCCACAAAAGATTAGTAAGGACCATGGGTGTTCAAGGTACCTGGTAGCCTGCAGAGCAGCGAGAACAATCCTAGAAATCCTTGAGATCCCATCTGCAGTTCCAAAAGGTTGTGTTCCAACACAGAAAAAAGAATGACTGAAGACTTCCCAAGATGGAGATGAGGATACAGACTCCTCCCCTTCAAGTTGCACCAGAAGCAGGCTGAGAACAGACTGATTCTGCACCAGAGCTAGAGGACCATGTCATGGTCTTGGCATGAGGGCAGCTTCACTGCTGATCATTCAGCCAGTGCTGAAGCCAGTGCGGGAGATGGACAACAGAACTGCTTTTGGTGTTTTAGTGTTTTTTTGGTTTTTTTTTTTTTTCCTCCTCTTTTTTTCTTCTCTTCAGTACTGGAGGGTTCTTGGAACGGGCACCGAGGCTTGCTGACAGGCCCTCACACATCCACTGTCTTCAGATTCCTTAGAGGACCTGTGGGATCCTAAGGAATGATGGTCTTGTCTCCTCTTCTCAGTCTCTTGACACTGAGGAAGAATGGTGCAGAAAAAAGACTAAGCCCACACCATTTTCCTCGTCTGCTCTACTGACCAAACTGTAAAGGTGGAACAATTTCATTAACCCAGGAGCCTCTGAACATCAGAAGAATCACTGGATATGCCTGAACATCGTGAGTCATTATGTATCCATCCAGTCACCTCTTATCTACAATGACCCCTGCTGTCTAACACTGCCTTCAAAAAGGCTTTCAATCTTAGAGAAGAATTCAACTTTTTCTTTAGTTGTATGTTGAAGCAGTTACATTTATTTGCACCTATTTCCACTTCCTAATTCATCTTCAGCTTCCAGCAATCAACTCTGGTGTGCCACTACCAGACTAGACAGTCTTCTGACAAAGGACTTGGCTGAACCTTTTGAGCATGAACAACAGAATCTGGGTTTATTTTAATGTTTTTCATTTAGTTTTTTAAAAGGGAGTAGCTTAAAGGTTAATACAGGTAACAGTGACAGCATAAAACACACTACCCTGGATGCAAGACAGCAAGAAGTGATCCAGAGAACCAGCCATCCTCTGAGGCACTGCAGGTTAGGCAGCAAAAGGGCACCCTCTCACCACAGGGCAATGCAGGGCACATCCCCTAAGCCAAGTCCTCAAGTGCACTGCCACACCTCAGCTAACTCTGCTGCCTCTGCTTTGATAGTCAGCCACATCACATTCCTCCCTCCCTTCTCTCCCCAAACGTGCACTTGGAGGTTTCAATCACAAGGGTCTTGGATAAATTAATCACCTTTAATAAACAAAAAGGTATCTCTGCATTCCCTAACGGTGCTTTTTGTCCAAGGTGACGTTACCAGAACTGGAAGAAGTAACCTTGGATTTCTTGAACTCCTCAGTCAATCCCTTTAGCAGTAAAGGTTTAACACTGACAAGTCTTAGATATTGAAAGCTTCAGGACTTAAAATATCTGAGTGTTGCATCTATTGACATTAAAAACCCACACTGCCCAATAATAACTATCTCATGGAGAGAGAACTGAACTCATCCCACCACTGTGCCCACGAGCCCATCTCTGCTCTCTCAATACATAACACACAGCAATTATTCTGTCCTTGCCTGACTTGCATACAACAGATTCCACGCTTGATGGTTTAAATTTACTAATTTGCTTCCTTTTTTTTTTAAATATTAATTCCACAAGTTTTGTGTTCTCAGCCTACACCATTCCTAGGAGGGGCATATGCTGCCAAGGGTTCCATTGCATACACACACACTAATGAGCACAGCTACTCCAGTGAGTTGGTTTTCAAGCATCAGACAAATGACATTCACTTTGCACCACTCCTTTAGGCTCAAGGACTTGCAGTTCTCACTGAAGCCTTCAGATTTCAAGACTTGGTATAATTTTAGAATTCTAAGTATTTTTTTCAAATCTGCTGGCATTAAATACTGAGCTTTAATATGGCAAATTAAAAAATCAGCAGTACCTTCAAAGTATGAATTTTGTCAGTACAAAAGATCAGCAGACAAAACACAAGGGGAAGAGCTGAACTGTCAGAGTGGGAGCTACCCCTGACTAAAGGAAACGTGGTCTGTGCAACCATGTGCCCTCCTTCTGGTAGGCTCCAAACAAACTCCCTAATGTGGAAATCTGAGGCAGGACAACATTGTCTCCACCCCTCCCCACAGCCCAAACACTTAGTGGGGGCTCCCACAAACAGTGACTGACACGTGCCCACATTTACACTGACCAGGAAAACCCAAAGCAAAGCCCCACAGAGCTGCTGATGCAGAATGCTGAGTCTTGAGGTGTAATGACACTCCTGCCCCAAGTCACAGCCAAATCTGGACAGAGAGCAGAGAATCATTATCTTACAGCAAGGATAGCAATAAAGCTACTTCAGATGCAAATGAATTACAGCACCAGCCCCACTCAGACTCTGAAGACACTGCACCACTAAGCTACTTGAAAGTAAGAGATACTCTCCCTTCAAAGAACACCACCAATTCCAGAGTTGTTACAAAACAGATCTACTTAACATGATTAAGTTGTACCTAACTTCTGTATATTTTTATAGAGGGAAAAAAAAAACAAAACACCAAAAACTCTGAAGCACTTAACTTTGCGTTTTTCACTGCAAAACCAGCCAAGGACTAAACACTAAAAGCCATGGTCTAATCATTTCCAAACACTTTTTACTTAAGGAACACAATTAAAGTGAAAATCTTATTTTAGGTGTTTTTACAATGGATTCCTGTTTTCTTTCATCCTCCATCTTATGAGAGGATTTTTTAATTATTTTTTTTTTAAAGCTCCAAAGGAAACCAATTTAAGAATGAAAGAAGGTGTGCCAAAAAGCCACAAAAATACTAAAGAACAAAACAGGTTTCTTGCCAGTCACATTAATGAGCTGCATACAAGTTAGAAGATATGTTTAACAAAAGCTTTGGGGTCTTGTGCTACCATCCAAAACAAGTACACCAGGCTCCAGAAAAACAATTAGTCACATCTCCAAGTATTTGCATGTGACAGTAGACTTGCCATGCACTCTCTTTATCCCTTGGTTCATTACCTAAAAAGATTTGCTAAGACAAAAAAACTACCACCAGCCATCAGCCAGCCTAAACTTCACATGGTAGAACTGCTTCAGAGTGAAAATAATCAGCTCAGAACAACACTAAGTAGCTGGCCAACCACTTCTCAACTACTGACTGCTTCTGTCACTTGGGAACACATGGAACAGGTATTGCTAAAATCAAATCTTGTAAGAAGACAAAAGAATTGTGAAGGACAGAGGACTGGACTCTTTATCCTAATTTCTAAAGGTTAAGATCAAGCTTTTAGTAACTAGCTTGAAACACTCTTTGGATAACACAGTTGGTGAAGATCACATTACACAAATAACATTACTTTCAAATTTTACTAGAAAGGTAAAAAAGGACTTACAGAAGTGGTTAAAAGTCACTGACCTCTCACTAATTGTGTACATTTCACAACATCTGTGTGTGGATGTTCAATGGTAATCTCAAAACCTGAAGAGTTACAAATACATTTTAGAATTACACATTTGCAGCTGTAAAATAAAACCCCAAACCCCTTATGCTTCCCCACAGACATAAAATACTCTAAACCTCTGCACTGCAGAACGAGTAGCAGGACTGCACTGCCTTTTACTGTGCACCTTTTAATACTTTTGAATGGCAGAGGGTACAGCTACTTCATGATCAATTAGGAAAATACCTCAATAACTCTCTCTCTCTCTATATATATATATGCAACCTGGGAAATTACTGTATTTTTAAGATTGAACATATCTGAGTAGTTTCTAGCATGCTAATAAGTCAGTAAAAACTGCACTGCAGACGTGTGTGTGCATGTGCACTTTATTAATTGATTTCTAGCACTTAAAACCATTTGCATCTACAAAACTACAAATTAAGTCAATTTGTAGGTCAGGGACTTAAAAAACTCTTCTTTGTTTATGAAACTATCTTAAGAATTAGGTCACTACCGTGAGCTATTTTTTTTTTAACAATATACTGCAAGTGGTATTTAAGAATACCTGAGCAAGTCTGTGTTCTCAGGCCTGCTAGCAGGAGTTGTCTCTGAGGCATTCTAAAGTCAGAAGAATTTCTTAGCAGAACATTCCATTTCAAATTTGGGAATCATCTGAACCATTAAATGGGTTGTTTCAGGACACACACCCACAGATAACCCACTGTAATGTGTTATCTTACATAAAGAAGTATCAATGTAATCACTACTTTGGAGTAAAATCTACTTGGAAGCTTACACATTTCCAACTCAAACTGTCAGAAATATCTATTTCCTAAGTACAGATGCCCCTTTTTTCCCCCCAAGTGAACGCAGCAGAACTGCTAACACAAAACTAAATTCACAGGTTAGAAGTTATACAGGAAAAGAGTAAAATTCCAGTATATCAACAGCACATCAAAAATGCAGTGACTTGGGTCCCATTACTCCTTCATGGTAAGTTGGCTGCACAGGAGATATTCAGGACATACCTAAAGTTTGAAGCATTATTGTTTCAAGTATAACCAGCTCTTGGGCTTGTTGCAGGTAAGCCTGAAACAGACAACAAACAGGTGAAGAGCAGCAATGGCTTCTCTGAGAATGTCAATCACACACTCACTGCCTGTTGGAGCACCGGTACTGCAACACCAGAGCAGCACAACTGACAATTCACAACACTGAGAGTTACAAAGGCTGCCCAGTGCCCATCAACTTGAGTAGCTCTGGGCAGGTTATTCATTTGACAAGTACTTTAAAAATACAGCTGGAGATGCTCAGCTGGCCTGTGGCTCAGGAAGGATAATGTGAACTCTAAAGCAAGTGGAAGCTGCGCAGACTTTGGCAAATGAAAAGAGGAGCAATGTACAGCAGAGGCAGCAGCTGATAACTCCATCATACACAGCCAACAGGGCACAGTGAAACTCTGCCAGAGAGAGACAGTGTCCTGAACTCAGAGCTCTGCACAAACTGTGCCACTCAGGGAACCACACATGAAACCTCTAATTTACACAGCCAGTCTTCTACTCTACATGTGGGAGCCTGAAAAATAATGCCATTTCAAGATGGAGCAATCTCTTCAGGTTTCACACCAAATATGTGAGCATTTAATAAACCACTTTAAGTAATGGAAAAGACCTCAATGGTGCACAAAGAAAAGGCTTTTTCCTAGACTGCAGACAGCAACAATCCAGTGAGACAGTCACACATCATGAGATGAAGCGTCATCTGATCATCTTTACAACCAGGACTTCCACCTACATCACTCTTTGTATCCAGTTGTGGCTCTTGAGGATGAAGACAGGCATTTGCTACTTTAATAACATGTTCAAGTTTCCGTGGCTGTTCTTCCACTTTTGCAGCCAAAAACAATGCCGTGGGAGACATTATCTGAAGGAGAAAAACACATGGGTACCTTTAAGCTTTGTGCAAGCAGAATTTGAATTTTTTATGGAGAGTCTAAACTAAAAGTTGGATTTGTGGCTTTTTTCCCCCCTCAGTTCTGAAGTCATGCAAGGCAACAAAAACATAACTAGTCAGGTTTTATTTTATAACTGATGTAATCCTCCCAGCAACACAGGGAAGGAGCAGCAAAATTCTAAATTACATTTGTGAGTAAGAAGTCTGAGGTCAAACTAATTCTAGTTCAACATAAAAAAAAAAAAATTTGGTCCAGAAGAGTTAGTCACACAGGAACAGGCTGTTTCAAGTTAAATATACTTTATGAGAAAGTTCATCCAATTTCTTGCACAGAGAGAGTCATTACACCATCTTTACAGTAAAAGTCAAAACAGCTGATCACAAGTTGTGCCAGCATTTGATTCTCCTAAAGACTGAGAAACTTTGCACAGAACTTGAACACAGCTTGTTATAATAGGTTGTATAAGTAAAAGAAACTTTATATATACATATATATTCTTAGAAACTTTACTATACACCCAGCAGTATCTTGAGAACAAAGCACAAGGATTCATAAAACACCAGTTATATCAAATATTAGTAAAGAGTACACATGACATTTTAAGGTGAATTTTAGATAACATTTAAGGTGTTACAAGCTGACAGCAAAGCTCCCACTGGCAGTTCAGTCTCACCCAGCAGAGCTATGGAGTAATTTTGATGCCTGTTGTCAGCTA